AGATATGACAAAATAATAATTTATAAATTATCAAGGGTTCATGAGGGAGAGGGAAGTGGGGAGGGAGGGGGAAAATGAGGAGCTCATGTCAGGGGCTTACGTGGTGAGCAAATGTTTTGAGAATGATGAGGACAATGAATGTACAAATGTGCTTTATACCATTGATGTATGTATGGATTGCGATGAGTTGTATGAGCCCCTAAGAAAACGATTAAAGAAAATATTAGGTTGCTAATTGAAAGGTTGGTGATGTCAACCCATCGATTGCTGCATTGGGGGCGTGTCGTCTTCTATAAAATTTTACTATCTTGGAAATCTTATGGGCAGTTCTACTCTCTTTTGTAGGGTCACTATGATTTGGAATAAAATTGATAGTAGTGGACTTGGTGTTTGGTTACCAGCAATCAGAATAACTGTCAGAGAGAGCAGAAAAATAAAAACAGCAGCAGCAATAATATAAACCAGAGTTAATTGGTAAACGATATTCATGGCTATACAATGCTATGTACCTGGCATTCTTCTAAGTACTTTCCACATATAGCTTCTTTAATCATCACAACTCTGGTATTAATGATCTCCTTTTTACTATGTGGGACCCTGGGTACAAAGAAGAAAGCTAACTTTTGCACATTCCTGTAGCTCCTAAATGGCAACACTGGGATTTGAACTTAATACTATGGTCTGGAGTCCTTGGGTGGTACAAACAGATAATGTGCTTAATTCCTAAGGAAAAGGCTAACGGTATGGTTCGCTCAGAAGCAAGACTGCTTTTAAAAGAAATCAACCATTGAAAATTCTATGGAGCACAGTTCTACTCTGACATACATAGAGTTGCCATGATACAGAATTGACCTTATAGCAACTGGTACTAGACTGAGCCCAGATTGTATGCTCTTAATCATTATGTAATACTGCTTTTCAAAATCAAATGGGAACAGTAAAAACTAAGAATACCAGAAAAGCAAGAAAAGACAAGATTATGAGACTATCAAGTTCATAATAACTACAAGTGTGTATATATATATCATAGTTATTACTACCACTAAAGATCCACTGAATGCCTAAATATATCATATAACTCTGTGAATATTAGAACCAAGTTTTAATCTGGGAAGGGGCTTTAATGCTCAGATTATAATATTTTAATATCTAAGTCTATTGCTTTTAATATCACAGCAAGCAATGAATTGTTTAAAGTTCATATGGCTCCCTCCACCCCTTCAAATCTTTTTTCATTTAATCCTCACAGGTAGGAAGGTAAGTTTATAAACAAGAAAGGCAAAGAGGTCTGTATTCCAGAGGTGAAAGGGAAAACCAGGACCCTTAACTATCAGGAATAAGTGATTTAAATTAAGCCATAATTTATTCTTGGGCACAGAACATTTCATTAGAACCTGTGTAAGACAGGAAAGTAAACAACACACATTGGGTTTCTAATAACTAGAATCGTAAAAGACTATAAAGACAAGAGCACTGTGTTCACAATGCTAATTATCAGAAAGTAACCTACTTAAAAAAAAGACATCAACTTATTGGAGTTAAAAGTATAAAGAAAAAATGAGAAAATAAAATACTAAAGATAAAATTAGGAAAAAAGAGAAAGTAAAAATAAAAAGAAGACTTTATTACAGAACTACAGTTTAAGATCACATAACAGAAATGACATAGAATTGAAGTTAACAAGAATAAAGAAAAAAGAATAATATTTTTAAAACTCAGCAAAACTGAAAAAGAATTTATATTTGAGGTAGAGAAAGTCATTTAAAGTACAAATCACTTTTAAACACCTTTAATCACCTTCTTTCTGAAGAATATTTGGAAACAATGGGCAAAATGGACTTACCTTTCGAACAATACTGTCTTCCACATTTGATTTTTTATTACTTCCCTGTTTTCCCATTAAAGTAATCTCTAGTTGACAGAAAGGTTTTGGTAAAATATCACATTGTGTAAAGAATTTTCGCCACTCAACAATATATGCTTTTAGCAAAGCTGTATCATCCTGATGGCTCAGTACTCGCTGAAAGAAAAAACCATGCCGATTTGAAATAAAGACATACATTTTAAAGAATATGGATGAAACTTATTGACACCATAGTTCTAAAATGTTTTACTACAAACTTTATTATAGCAATACATTTTTAAAGTTAAAATATTAGATTACTGCCAATCTAAATAAATAAGATAGTTTTACTCAAAATTTGAATCCATCTTATACCTTTAGAGTGTGTCATTATAAACATGGTCTATGTACAATTTTGTGTTTTAGGTTTTTTCTTACCTTATTATATGCATTTCTATTATGAATATCACTATAATGACTAAATACTTTTACATCTAAAATTACAAGGTACTAGCACCAATGAAACACATAGCTTTCCACTAGCTTTTTTTTTTTTTTTAACATTTTATTGAGGGCTCTTACAGGTCTTGTAACAATCTATATCAATTGTATTAAGCACACTTGTACATATGTTGCCATCATTATTTTCTAGACTATATTTTCTATTGGACCTATTCTATCTATTCTACTATTTTTCTTTTTTAAATCATTTTATTGGGGGATCGTACAACTCCTATCACAATCCATACGTACCAGGCCTGTCTGGATAGGACAGGCTGGATGAACAATCTGGAGGAGAAAACAACGGGACTGA